AGTAAATATCGGGTTTTTACTTACGTTTGGAGGTAATCAATAGTCGTGTTTACACTTGTGTCTATAGCAGTGGTTTTCAACCTTTTTGCTGGAGTGGAACCACAAGGAAACATTCCAGTGGCTTGAGGAACCCCTGCAATAAATTCATTGTCTTATGCAAAAAAAAAAAAAAAAAAAAGCTTTCAATTGTTAAAATAAAATAAAATACTCATTTTCAGATTTATTTACAAAAAAATACAAAGACAAACTGTAAAAATATTGTATACGTACATATGCAATTTTAATCTTGTTTCTACGGTTATTACACATGTGTTTTATTATTGATTTAGTGGAGGTACCTAAACACACATATCTGCACAGGAGAATTAAAAATTACTGTCAATCATAGTACTTGTATAACTTCTCGCGTAACCCCTGGGCTTTACTGGTGGAACGCTAGGGTTCCGTGGAACCCTGGCTCAAAACCACTGGTCTATAGGTAAGAATTTTGATCGTGTTTACACTTCAATCCGAAGGTAAATATTGCTCGAGGTTATACGTGAGTCTATAGGTAAACATTTCTCCTTGAGTCTATATTGTCGGGATTGTGTCTTCAAACTTTCATCTGGAACATGGTCCCTTTTCTGGAGTGTCATACCTGCTCTGCAAGGGATACGGTCGGCGTATTCCGGAGTCGACCGATAGCGAACAGTTTTCCTTGCATTTACATATACAAATGAAAAAGAAATAAACATTAATGAAACAGAGTGGCATTGTTTGGGAAAGAAGAAAAAAAATCGACTATTTAAACAAGAGTTTCTTCTTATCTTCATGGTGGCCGGGACTGAAAGAAGAGCCAAGTTTTCGTCTTTGTTTAAAAAAAAAAGTCCCTTCTCAACTTCCCATATCGTAGGAAGGAGCACGACACATTCTTCTGCTTACTTCCCCCATTTTTTTTTTATTCAACTTATCCCTTCGTGGGAAAAAGATCACACCCTTTTCTTCTACAGGGTAGCTACTTTATCTTGTATGCTCTATCATGATCATGATCATGATCTCATGATCAGGTGTGGTAGAAGGGTCGCAGCTGTATACCTGAAATCTATATATATTTTTAAAATCATATTTATCCTGTACGTAAATATTGGCCAAGGAACGACTACTTGAACTAAATCACACTCCCGATTTCGAATGGAACGTGTACATTCGGTGCCATCCCAAAAGGTTGGTGGAAGAAACATCGGTTTTTCTTGCATCGCTCCAGACAATACCTAACTTCTGTTACTCTATCTTTACAAGAGTCAGATCAGAGCAAAGATGGAGTACTGCTGCCATATCTGGGCTGGCATTGTCCAAAATCTCACAGACTTACGCGGTCTTGTGGATGATGAATTATTCTTCTCCTTAAAGCTACTAACATTTCATTACCACCGAACCAATACTGATAAGTGATCATACTCTCAAAGTGGCTCCTTGCCACCAGCGACTACTGCGTTAACTCTAAATGATCTAAAATTTAAAAAAAAGCATATATTCGGTGCCATCCCAAAAGATGTATGGTCGGTTCATTGTATCGCTGTAGAATGGAGTGCCGCTGGCATATCTGGGCTAGTGCTTCCCAATTCCTACGTTTATGTTCTATCATCATCATCATAATCACCATCATCAGCATCAGTCTCATCCGTTCCATGACCTGGTGTGGTCGAAGGGTCGCTACGCAGCTAACAGACCGACAATACATCTGGTTTGAAAGTCGGAGAGGTATTCATTCATTCGTCGCGTGTAGTGAGCAAATAAACCTGGCGGGGCGTATGTCCTCAAACTAGTAACATAAGTTACGGACATGTGGCTTTTGATTTCATCGGGGAGGACCCTCCATCTGGGATGCTGACTTCAGTCGAGGGAGTTCTCCGCCCATTGATGTCGTCTTGTTTAGTTATTTTTCACAGTGCAATTATTCATCAGGGTGCGATGGATAGACTGTCGGATAGATTACACCCAAAATATCTTGAACTACTAAAGAGTAGATTTATTCAAGTAAATCGTCATTCGCGTTAGCCACGGCGTCCAGACAACTTCGGAAATTTCCTGCATCTCTTCTGTCCGATTTCCTTGTCTAAGTTGATGAATGCTGCAATAATCCTTGCCTTCGGGTCATCTTTGCTGTTACAAGGAGCTTTGTTGTAGAATAGAACCTCACGGTTACATCTAGTTATTCTAACATTAAAACAATGAGACCTAATAGCCAATCTAGTAGTACACTTAAGTCCATGCGCGTGTGGGACCAATAAGGATAGCTCATTATAGTAACTGGTATGAAAATATTTATATAGAGGGGGAAAAGATGGTTAGGTGGCCAGATGTAAGGGGTGATGTGGTCGCAGAAATTGTCTGACAACTATGACTGGGTTCTCCTGCGTGTGGGGCATGGTGCAGAGTCCTGTTGCCATATATAGGGACTTCTATCAGCCACCCTCTTGACATAGGGCAGCACTACTTCCTCAAGGCATTTTATGTAGGCCTCTGTATTGAGTCTGAGGTCATGTAGGAAGAATACTGGAGGAATAACATCGCAATCACTAGTGATCACTCCAAACACCGTAAAGTTGCCTGGATATACCAACCACCTCTTTCCAAATCCTCTGAGCTGTCCTCAGACTGGTACTCAAACCCTCTGAAATGTTCATATTGGAGCTTCCAGCACGAATGTCAAGCAGTACAGCATGCCGTTTCCAAATTACTGGCGAGGTAAATTGCGTCATGGTGTTCTTTTTCTCATAGACGGTGCCCAACTGACCCTACTATACTAAGCAGTTGACAAAATTAAAAACAAACAACGAAAATTAAACTACAAAATGGCGACAATTTACCCAACGCACTCTGTATCTTTCGTGTTGCGTTCATGACTTCAAGTGCTCCACGGGTGCTCAATAAAAATTTATTTAGATTACACATAACCACTGCGCACACCTTCTACCACTGTCCTCAAGTGCTCCCGTTCTGAGAATATGTCGGCGAGTTGACGTCTCGTATCGATCCCGAACATCTTGTGTCCGTCGATTGCGCATACACGTCTGATCATGTGTCACTCCCGTGTTCTAGGGTGAGACGGATGGTGTTTCTGACGCTGCTAGCTGTAGGAAGGGTGTTCGTGTGGACGACGCGAATGGTAGTAATCTTACGATACGAACTTTATTCTTATCAGGATCTGATCGGATTCATTGGGCATTAGCTGAAGATAAAGATCAAAACTGATAGATTTAAGCGACAGGTAGGTGAAAGTCGCGAGTCTGATTTGTGTGAACGGGGCCAACCTGGAGTTTCTTTTTTTTTTACGTCTCTTTTGGAAGCAGAGGGACGGTTTCTTGAGGGACCCTAGTTAAGCTAGGCCGTATTTATTAACCTAGTTAATGTGAGTAATTAATGCTCCCGGTTTGTTTTTGTCTCCTTTTTCCTCGACTAGATCAGCCTTTGATATTTATCCACTACTTAATTAATTTTGTCTACCCTCTGCCGTTAGTAAGCGAACTTCTTGAATCTGGGTTTGTCTATATTTCTGAGATGAGGTATTATGTACAGTATTTACATTAGTCGGACTATTGTCCTCATCTTTGTCGCCATATTTGTCACAACGTTTCGGCCGTTGTACGCTCCGGCCTTCTTCAGGTGGTTGGAATCTGCTCAGGTGGTTCTTGAATCTGCTCATTGGCGGCCGCTCTTTATCTTTTCTGTTGGGTAGACGGATCTTACTAATGTATTTTATTTTAGTTTGAATGGCTTGTACTTTATTTTGTTATTGGCTTCATCCCCTGCTCCTCATTTCATGATGACATATTTTTAATTATTTTTTAAGGAAAAAGAAAGAAAGGAAAACAAAGACATTTGTAAGCATTATGAAGTTTTTATGATATGTGTATTTTAGTAGGATCACTTTGAGTATGTGGTACTATAAGATGTGTTGGATTGAATGATGATGGATAAATTACTGTGGTGATTGAGTAATTGTAATAGATGGATGAATCGGGAATCTGATTAGCTAAGTTTAGAATAGTTCGTATAGACCAGTCTCTACTTACTCCCCCTTCCGCCTCGGGCCTAAATTATAATTAAAAATTATCATAAATATTCATTCCTTATCTAGATTGAAACCAAATTCTCTCTATCAATATGTTTGCAGGGATTAAGAAAGGTAATAATCAGTTGGTGTAAAGTAAAGCGAATATGGCGGGTTTGATAGCACAGGACAACCGAGTTCCACATTCTTATTTAGTGTTATCCCTGCTGAATGCAGCCTTGCGTTTTCATGTAGAAGAACAACATTTTCTTTTAATCCACCGTGCACGCAGCCACGGCCGTGCATAAAAATATATCAGTTTATTCCAAATTTATTCTTAACTGCCACACATGATTAGTCATTAGGATTATGCATTCGTCATTACAACTGGTTTCCACAAACGGAAATTACTTCTGACATCATAATAGTTTAACTAATCTCACTTTCCTTTAGGTGATGATGATGACGATGATGATGATAACGTCCAAAATTTACAGAAATGTAAATAACATGAATGATGATTAATTACATCGAAGCATGTTTGTTTATAATAAAACAGAAATTAAAATAATATGATATTCTGTTTCAGATATAGGATGTGAAAAAATCGAAATTCTGTGTATATTAGTGAAAGGTCACGGGAAACTTATAGAAAGAAATTTACCACCTACATTTTTCAATGTAATTAGTGAATCATACGCGTTTTGGCTTGTTCTCTTCCATTGTCAGAATGTATGGGCAAGAACTTCATTCACTCAGTTGAACTCAACTTGCATTAGATTTTGATTGACTGATTCCTAAAACTAATTCTTCTTTCATCTGTGATTCTTTTCTTATTTTATACCAACGTGTACGTGTGTGGTATGAGTAATCATAAATACATCTGTGCATAAGAAACTCTGAATTATTCTTTCTTTCTTTCTTTCTTTCTTTCTTTCTTAGTCTGTACATATCGAATTTTTCTCAGCCTGTTCATATCTATCTATCTATCTATCTATCTATCTATCTATCTATCTATGTACATATCGAATTTATATCAGCATGTTCATATCTATCTATCTATCTATCTATCTATCTATCTATCTATCTATCTATCTCTGTACATATCGAATTTATATCAGCATGTTCATATCTATCTATCTATCTATCTATCTATCTATCTATCTATCTATCTATCTCAGTCTGTACATATCGAATTTTCTCAGCCTGTTCATGTCTATCTATCTATCTATCTATCTATCTATCTATCTATCTATCTATCTATCTATCAGTCTCGGTTTATTAATGTATGCTTCCTTTAGGAGTTACACTAAGAAAAATAAGTAGTTTGGTGAATGTTAAAAAGGAAAGACTGCCTAAATTTTATGACGAGAAGACTATATAAGAAAGAAGCAACTATGTGCGACATAATAAGAAAAGAGGATACTTAGTCAATTTCAGCCCACCTTTGCATCTATCTCTCGATGGAGCTTTATCAGTCAGTTCGTATCTTAAACGTCTTATGAATAAAATTCAGCGTACCTTAATTTTTTTCGTAAAACATGACATCAATTATTTCGTTTGGATTACTCGCTTATATATATATATATATATATATATATATATATATATATATATATATATAGAGCGAAAAAGGCCTGTATGTGGATGACGTTACATATATATATATATATGTTAAGATATATATATATATATATATATATATATATATATATTGTGTGTATTTAGGCAGCATCTTTTCATTTAGACACGTTTCATTAAATAATATAGACTAGTGTTGTCTATTTATTTTATGTAAATTTTTTTCGTAACATCTGATAAGTTTAATAACATTATCGTTGAACGAAGAAAGAAATTCACAATATTGATCCATATTTTTTTTAATATAATCTAAGCTTTCGGCTTACTTAAGCCATTATCAAAGATGTAAATTACAACATATTAAACAATATAAGGACACGACAGTGATGATAGTCTGTCATTGTTAAGTTTACATAGATGATCTCTAAGCAACGATAAACACGCGCATATAGACGCTAGAAGCGAAAACCGCACCGCATCTCATGACGTCACACATGACCACACGAGAGTGAATTGGAGAATGAAATATGGAAAGCCGTTGGTATAAACCAATATATATATATATATATATATATATATATATGAAGCAACTCCGGCAGGATTTAAACCTGAGTTCCCTCAGGAGAAATTTTGTTAGATATGACGTGGTTTGGATCTCTCGGTCACGGAGGGCATCGATGACCAAGCAAAGTTAAATAATGCCTTTAAACACTAATTTCTCTCTAACTCTCGAAATAGACATATCTGCTTAGTTTCGCGTCCTAACGGAAACAAAGTAATTTTTAAAAGGAATATATATATATATATATATATATATATATATATATATATATATATATATATATATGTTTGTTAGAATTTTGGGGTACCTTTGTACTAGTGAGCCAACCAAAAAATGAGCTGACTTATTTTTTATAATCCACCAAGAGAAGGGTTAACCAATCAGAAAGCTCAAAATATTCAATCCGACGTGTATAAAGGCAGCCATTTTGTTTTTTCTCCAAAAATATCTTCACTGCCAACCTCTGATATCGAAGACCTGAAGAATTACAGAACAGCTGCTTCTAGTTATATTGGCGTTGTTCCATTGAACACATTATGTACTGCACTGGATTCTATATTCAAAGACTACGGCAAACATGGTCAACAACATATATATATATATATATATATATATATATATATATATATATATATATATATATATATAAATTTCAAGAGAATAGGATCCAGGTAGAGCTTAATGTCCAGGACAGAGCAAGAATATCAAACACTAATATTCCATGGTTATAATTTATTACATTGGAATCGTAATCCCGTTCCAAATTCATCAGACCTATTCAAACAGGTTTGATTAAATAATTTAGACATATCATGCCCATTAGTTTTCGTTGTGATCCTTTCAACTTTGAGGATTTCTTGGTAGCCTTAGAAAATTGATTAAGAAAAAAACCAAAATTTTCTTTCAAATAGTTTTTATTTTCCCAAGTACTTTCAATCTAATCTGAGACCATCTTTATGCGGTTAAGTTGTCTGTGACTATGTATATATGTTTTTGTAAATTCAAAACATTTCAACTGTTCTTTTTTACTGGTTATGCTCATACATATATAAATTTTTTATAAGCATTTAAGAACTTTGTTGGTATACTCATAACCATGGTCCTTAGTCCCCATAGGAGAATTGTCATTTAATATAACACTTTTCTTAGTAGATGGGATGTTCCTAGTAGGGTGATTTTCTGGGCAACCTGTATGTTGATGTTACCTGGGATACTGTTTGTAAAATTGTCCATTCCTTTTCTCAGGAGGCACAGAGCTCCGATTAATATTGGTAAAGTTTCAGTCTTCATTTCTCACATCCTGTTAATTTCGATCTTCAGGTCCTTGTATTTATTTATTTATTTTATTATTATTATTATTATTATTATTATTATTATTATTGTTGTTGTTGTTGTTGTTGTTGTCACAACAGCAGAACTTATGGAACATATCATTACTAACAAACGTAATTTCGACGGGCATCTTAAGGTCCACATTCTGAAAAAAAATATCCAGATTCCGTTGACCTTTCAACCCCTAAAACGCATGAAGATAAATACCTATGCAAACTCCTAATGTCCGGTTGGATGAAGAAAATGAGGGAAGCGTTCCAAAAGATTTATACCAAACTATTTGATTAATTAGTCTTACTAACTAATCAACTAATGGAAAATTTCCTGATGAGCACGGTCCCTGTCATGTTACTCACGTTTCAGTTGCATTTCATTCACGCTCGCTGCATTTCATTCGCTTTCTCGCGTTGATTAACACTACAACCATTTTTTCTGAAGACATTTGTATAAATACCAGTATTTTTATATTATCTTTTATACATGTATGCACTTTTGGAACATAACTTAAAAAAGACACTCCTACTGCCGAAATATTACGAAACATTGTTAAAGTATATGTCTTTTCTTTTTTCGCGTTCTTCTCTAAGTGTTGAGAAATAATTGAAGTGTTACGCCAATTATTTTATTTATTTATTTATTTATTTATTTATTTATTATTATTATTTTTATTTCCTTTGATTTCTGGTTTTTACACATTTCTTTCCGGGTCCCGCCCAGGGACCTAAGGTTAGAAATAGTATCATGACACTTTCCACTGACAAAAAAAAAAAAAGAAATTACATAGATAAAGCCATTTGTAAAGTGTGGGCTGTACTTGTCAGAACATTTTTTTGTATCTCTTTGAAGCATGGACTTCCAGGAATCCCTTAAAATTAGTCTACTGGAATCTTTTCCAACCATTCCTAGGGCCCCAACTACAACAGAGATTGTTGATGTTCCCATGTGCCACATTTTTGAGATTTCTATTTCAAGGTCCTTGTATTTTGACAGATTTTTATTATTATTATTGTTATTATTATTATTATTATTATTCGTGCAAGTTCATGACTGGTGGTTGTTCTAGGGAACCGAATGACGGAAGGTTATCTCAAATCTCTAGCACAAATTTAGAGATTCTTGATAAAATCCAAAGAAGAATCTGCAATCTGGCATCTGGGCTTCAATCACTTTCTAACCATATCAGCGTAATTTCCCTGTAGCTTTCTATAACTATTTTCAGGATAATTGTTCTCATGTGCTTTCCACTTTGGTACGTAGACCTTACGAATTTAAGCGCAGTACTAGATTGGCAGTTAGATCTCATCTTACTGTTGAAATGGTTAGACGTAACCGTCAGTTTTATACTAACAGTTTATTCTCATGCACTTCTCTCCTGTGAAACATTCTTCCGGTTTCTTTCCTTCCAGTCAACTTTGATATTCAGAAGACAGCAAGAAACTGTTCAACTATTTTTTTGCATTCACGGCTATATGCAGATCGTAAAAATCCGTGGAGTGATATGATCAGCTATATCCTGACGGGAAATGACATTAAAAGATAGATCCTTGTAGAGTGTCTTTCGTTTCGTCTATGGCTTTCAATATGCTGTCATTTCAGTTCGACATACTTATATCTTCTTAACTGTAGGTGATTGACGTCAGCAGTGGTAGGGGGTCGTCGTTTAAGTAACCCGAATATGCAAGGCGTTCAAGCGGAAGAAGTTTCCCTACCTTGAAAATCTGGATTCGATTCCCTGGCTTTTATCTGGGCTCAAACTGCTGAAGCGCAATTGGGAGATTCGAAACAACTTGAGATTCTACTTGAGGTCATTTAACTATAGTTAATTAATAAGCTTTTTGTTATTGTTTCTGGTGTAAGAGAATAACCAATCACCCCCATGAATGATTCCACTATAGGGAGAAAGTACCTATAAACTCGAGAGTCTCAAGGAAGAGTGAGAGAGAGAAGACGCAAGCATGTCTGACCTTCCTAATTAGTGGCATTCACTATTAGATTGACCTTTGTGTATAACTGTACCGTATTTCATATTGTACTGGTTGTGTACAATAAACCTTTCTTCTATTATCCACCTGGCGTTAAGTATTTATTCCCTTAGCACGGAATATAACAGTTTCTTTCTCCTCTGTTGATAATTGACTACAGATCTTAACAGGCTTTGAACTCAATTCCAAGGATAAGCTACATCATCCTTCGTGTAAATTCAAGTATAAGTCGAAAGTTATATAGCGTTTGAATCTCAACATAAGTGTCGGTATTTAATATTGTTTCTTACTGTAAAAAAATATATCTGCCATTACACAGCATGTCATTTTATTTCTCTCTGTCTTGCATTTCAACACCACCTGACACGTGTTTCACTATTGGATCGATCTTTTGACGGGAAATAACTGTCAGGCCGAACAGATTTGATGCTTCCATGAAGCCAACTTGGCAAGTGATTAAGTTTCGAAGTCACGCTAAGAGGTCCAATCCTGATCCGATATAACATTGTTCATATATAGGCTACGCTCGCTGCTAGATTTTAATCAGAACCTCGCTGAGCTGCATGTCAAGGCTTTTGACATATGCAAACCGTGAAAGATTAGGTTTCATTCTAATGCCGCTGTCACATAGCAATTCCGGCCGAATACATGAAATATCAATCACTATGAATACATTTCCCAGGTAGAAGGGCTGTCAGGCGTCAATGCTTCGCTTTGCTTGAGGAAGTTCGGTGAGATTTAAATGGGGATTAGGATCTGTGTTTAGATACAGTGTATGTGATTATGTAAGAACGTTGGGCGTTTTCATCATTGCCTTCTTTTTCAGTT